AAATAGCCCCCTAAGTGAGGTTCAAGACACACTTCTAGACGAGTGGCGGGTTCTATACATTCGGGTGACCGAGTAGCTTTCGTGGACCCTCGAGAATAAATATACAGCTGAGCCTAGTCCCATGCGAGTGCTTGCGGTCCCCCTCATCTGAATCTTCTTTTTGTTTTATCGAAGTTTTGGGACAGGAAACTCGTGTTACTTTTCCTTTCTTTCGGGATTTCCCCAGGAGTTTTGAGGATTTTCTTTTACCTGAGTCTTTTTCGTTGATTTTCTCGAGTTTTTCGCTTTTCCTCGGATTTCCTGGATGACGTTTTCTTCCGGACTTTGCTTTTTGAGATGTGTTTAGGCTTGCTATACTTAAGAAACATCGGATCTCACGGGCGTACAGGTTTGCTTTATATTTTCCAATACTTTATTTTCCTGTTTTCTACCTGCTACTGCTCTTCCTGTACAGCATGATTATGTCATTTCTGCTTCTACCTGCTACTGTACTGTATAGCATGTCATATTACTCTTGTTTTCCACCTGCTACTGCTCTTTCTGTACAACATGATTATGTCATTTCTGCTTCTACCTGCTACTGTACTGTATAGCATGTTACACTTATCATGTTTCTACCTGCTACCGTACTGTAAAGCATGTTACACTTGTCCTGTTTCTACTTGCTACTGTTCTTCATGTATAGCACGTTATACTATCCCTGTTTTTGCCTATTACTGTTCCACGTGCATTCTATTGTTTGTTCATGCATTGCACACTTTACATTATATAGCTTCAAGCATGTTAACTTTTTTGCATAGGATGTTTAGAGGACTACAAACATAGGGCCGTTTGATATAACACTATAACTGGACACCCTAGAAAACTTAATCTCGTCACGTCGGTGAGCTTGTAGCTAGCGCGGTGGGCAGGACGACCATCTTCAACTGCAAAACCTGTCTTCCCCAGCAAAACCATTCCTTTCCTAGAAATTAAACAACAATCCATAGGATTTCGATGTTGATTGCCTAGCGCAACATAAATCCTCCACCTTTTCCTTAGGCATTCGTATAGCTCTGCTATACGATTTAAGCCCTAACTCGTTCTAGGTTCCGAGATTGTCGTC